CCTTGTCACCCTTATTATTCATGATGTACCTACAAGGATTAGAGGCCAAATTAGAGGGAAGTGGACTTGGCTTGAACCTCTCTTTAGTCAAACAAGGAAAACTTATCGATCAGTCACAACCAGCATTACAGCATTAATGTACGCAGATGATATAGTGCTAATGGCCAACAACAAGGAATATTTGCAGAGATTGATGGACATCTGCGATAATGAGGGAGATAGGCTAGATTTTAGATTCAGTAAGGAAAAATCAGCAGTCATGATTTTCAATGACAACGAAGGTAGTGAGCTTAGAATACAAGAGGTCACGCTAGAGATAACAGATAAATACAAATATCTGGGCGTATGGATAAGCAATGGGACCGAGTACCTGAGGGAACACGAAATATACGTGACGACTAAAGGTAACAGGAATGCAGCAGTCATGAAAAATAGGGCACTGTGGAATTACAATAGGTATGATGTTGTGAGAGGAATATGGAAAGGGGTCATGGTTCCTGGGCTGACGTTCGGCAATGCGGTCTTGTGCATGAGATCAGATGTTCAAGCAAGATTAGAAATTAAACAACGTGGAATAGGTAGGCTTGCTTTAGGAGCTCACGGGAATACACCAAATCAGGGAGTACGAGGTGATATGGGATGGACATCATTTGAGGGCAGGGAAGCTAGCAGCAAGATAAAATTTGAGAAGCAATTGAGTGAAATGGGGGAGAAGCGTTGGGCTAGGAAGGTTTTCAGCTACTTGTACATGAAAAATGTCGATACAAAATGGAGGAAGCGAACCAGAAAATTGACTGGTAAATACTTAGAAAACAGCAGGTGGCCAAACCAAAAAGAACTATCGGTTAAGAAGAAAGTGAAGGAAACGGAGACTGACATGTGGAGAATGGGCATGATTAAGAAGTCCGCACTAGAGATCTATCGAACTTTTAAGCAGGAAATTGCCAAGGAAAGGATCTATGATAATACTCGGGGTAGTTCTCTACTGTTTGAGGCCAGGACGGGAGTACTGCGAACCAAGACATATCGGGCCAAATACGAAGGGGTAGACACAGTATGCACTGCGTGTGGAGAGGAAGAAGAAACTGCCAAACACTTGATAATGTTCTGTAAAGGGCTTCACCCTATAGTTCAGGATGATGGCACAGAGTTTTTAAAAGCACTGGGGTTTAGGGACCGGGAAGGCAAAATAGATTTTAAGCGGGTAGACTTAACTAGAAGGAGGTTATCTGATTGGTGGCTAAAGTCAAGGCACGAGTGAAATTTAAACTCTTCACTGCAAAGTACGAATCCTCAAACTCACTTTTTAAAGAAAAAAAATAAATCTGGTTTTTGGTTCATTAAGTATTACGGCTTGGTGGCGCTAGCCACCGCCCGATCTAAAGGGTACAGCCATATCCATCCATCCATCCATGTGTGCAGCATTCGTAAACGCCCGCCACTCTACCGCTACTTTCGAGAGTTGCGGGAAAGCTCGCCGCCTGTCAATGGAGCGCGGGCGGTTTGGGGTGGCTGAGTTCGATATATCCATTATGTGTCAAACTTTGTTCGAAATAAAAAATCAATAATGCATGCGATTTCCCACGTGATATAGGAACTGTTCGATATAGGCAATAATTCGATATATCCGTGTTCGATATATTGAGGTTTGACTGTAGCCTCGATTTCATGCCAGCACACATGCATGACCTGTGTGCTACACTGCAGCATTCAAATGCAATGCACCACATTTCAAATTATCTTTAGGGAGCGTGGGAGTAACAGCACGAACACACACCTGCAAGAAAGAATACACGGACACACAAGTGCTGTGGGTCCATGCCTTCTTTCTTGTACTCTCTCGCTCTACTATGAACCACCTTGCCCAAATATAAGTTTTGATTAGGTATGTTAAGCACCTCAGAATATTCGAGAAACGTTACCATTCACTTTTAAATAGATTTCCTCTCCTGTGATCAAACAAAAATTTTTGTTCCATTGACTTTATTGGCAGACTAACTAAAACATGCCACTCCATGTTATTCCTTCACATTTTCCATGTAGAGATAAATATATGTGCATTTATGGCTATGTTGATGATGCGAATATTTTCCACGCAATCCACAATTTCTGGCATGCAGTTGCATATGCTCAAATGTGCCAACAAAATGACAGCAACTGATTACCACCTCGATCGATCACTTGGTAAACCATCACACACAGCACGCAAAAGGTAGCACAGTTTCTTTTCACTGATGACCTGCTTTTGTTTTAGTGCATATGCTTAATCTATTCTGGTAATCAGCCTGAAAGTTTGGAAGCACAATCGCCCTACACTTTTGTTGCATTCCTTCAGTGATGAATAGATAAGCGAGAATGAAACAGGCAGTTATAAGTTGGACGTCCTACAAGTTTGTCAGTATGAGCAACAGAGTTATTTGAAAGATGGACTGTCAATCAGGTCATTCGAATAAAAGAAAACAAAGAAGCATTAAAAGACAAGCAACGAGAGGTCCTGAAAGAATTAGCCAGCTTCTAATTTGGCTCTACATTACCGTGCACTAGGCTTGTGCAAATAGTGAATTTTAGGTTCGAAACGAATTCGAAGCAAATAGTGATTTTGGTCAAATAATTTCGTATCGAATTCGAATATATCACATATAAAGCAAAATGGACATAATTATGATGACCTAACTAATCTGCACAACATGGCCTCTGTGCAAGAGCTTCCTTTATTTTTTTTTTTTTTTTCTATTCAAAGGAAATTGAAACAACTTTGAGAAGTAGCAGGATTTGACTTTCAGTAGGATACAAGTGATAACCTGTAAAATACATAACACTATTCATTACAGTTAGAGTGAATAAACCAGAAAAACAAGCTTTTAATCTTAAAAAATGATCAATCGACTTGACGTTAATATGTTCCTTTAAAAGAACCCTGCAACAGTTTTTCAAGTAGCCATGAAATGGATTCACTAAAGAAGCTTATTGTCTTATGAATTAAGCGCTACAAAAATTTTTAGAATTGCCTCATTATGAGCAGAGTCGCAAGAATTTGCCACATGCTGCAATTGCATTCTCTCTCCTCGTCCCGACGAAAGTGCTTGAAGCAAAGCTGGGAGAGATGGCACAGGAAAAGAAAATACGTCACGTGCAGGTCGTGACCTTGAGCGTTCCTCTTTTTTTTTTTTTCTTTGAATACGCGGCTTTTCAATGCGATCGCGCATGTACGCATGGACATGTCGCGGCCACGCACAGCAGCCCCAGGAACGACTGAGCGCTCAACGCTCAGATCAGTCAATGGCTGGTACAATGACTGTGACTAGCGATTTTTGACACTGTGGCGTCTATTGCCGAGAGAAGAGAGCAATTTTTATCTGACTGAGAATTTATTGTGAATTTCAGGTCGCGTGCTGCGCTACAATATTTAGCTCGCGTGTTCTCGGTAGCCTCGACTATCGATCGGCAGCGTGTGCTCACAATGCTCAAAAAGTGTTGCAGGGCCCATTTAAATTTGAAGTGGAGCTTTGTGGCAAAGCAAACTTATCCTGAATAGATGCTTTCACGGCTTAACACAATTATACTGCAGTGAAACCACCTTCACAAGCAGTTACGTGGGGATTAATATAGATCTATTCGTTCATATCGAATACTCCGAAATATTCAATAATTTGAATTCAAATCGAATCAAATCCGAATACTTTGCTATTCGTTCCAATATTCGAAGCATTCGAATATTAGCACAAGCCTACCGTGCACACAGGTACATTCTGCGGCTGCCTGGCGCAAAGTGGCAGCCATGTTTTAACGACAAGACTTCATGGAACTAGCCCAAGCTTTCTCTATTTGAAAAGCAGGTAATTAATGTGTACCCAAGCCTACAGCTATGTTCTATAAAGCAGACATAGGTTATCTGGAAGCTCACTGTGTCCTGAACATGTAAGCTCCTATTTCATTGTGAGTCGTATACACAGTATCCATGCAATGCATGCTCATCGACTCTCTGAACTCATTCATTCTCAATATATAGAAGATTTTTAAATGTTTTTATCGACTTAGTATTATATATAGTAATAATTACCCTCCGTATCACTTCAGACATTTGGCATTCATTATGCCAATGACCAGAACAAATTATCTACTACAGTTAATAAACTGCCAAATTCCAAACCTTTTTAAATAGCCACAAGGATTTAATGTCATGTGTTAGTGCCTATCACACACTGATAACATTCAGCAAACAATCCAAAAAATATTTCCTTGACTGTGATGCTCATAAACTTTTATATTTTTTTCCATTTTTACCCACTTAGCACTTCAGTTAATTATGTATTATGTATTTCTTCATTTACTGGTTGTAATTTAATTTATTAGTGCTATGTCATGTGATTAATGTTGATTGGTCAGTAATTCTATTTTTGTTCCACGGCTTCTATATTACTCCTGCACATGATGTATCTTGTTCTAAGTTGTAGTCACATTCTTGTGTTACGGAATTCCGCCACTGTCTGCATGTCATTTATACAGTTTATTTATAAGTGCTAGTACTTTTTGTACAATATTTACCACAGCACAGGTGCGGGTATTTCGTGCGGTGAATGCACGTATGGTGCTAGAGGCCCAGTCAGGTGACGTTTCTGTTAACGTCACCTTTTGCCACAAGAACCACGACAATCTTTTATTGTTGCACACACTAATTTAAAAAAACTCACAGGGCATCTGAAGCTTCTTTAGCAGCTGCTCGTTCAGTTCACTTCTTTTCTCTACATCATTTTTACGTCGGAGACGACTTCACTGTCCAAATGTGAAACTCATCAGGTGCGCATGATTTATTAACCCACTCTACACACCATGAGCTCTTGACGGCTAATGCAAACACCTCATCAATCTCCATTCATCTCCCAAACCTTGTTAGAGAACACAGGAAGCTTCAAACAAAGACATAAGTAAGTGTGGATTAAGGCCATCTCAAACACCCAGCCAAACATCTGGCCACACTTCGTTAGGAAGCGTACACTCACCTCCCCACTTCCATTGATGCCCCAACCGGACGGAATGGCCTCTCCTTTCCTGTGCTGCATTTCCACCTGCAACAGGAAGCAACGCTTAGTGAAACTGTGCAGATATGAGATAATACATGGCACACATCGCAGACCTTTGTAAGCTTACTTTTTTTGCAAGACTGCAATCAAGATAGTAATAATAATTGTTGGGGTTTTGCACCACCAAAACCATAATACAATTTAGAGAGATGCATAAGTGCAGCGCTCAAGAAACTTTGACCATCTAGAATTCCAGCATTTTGGCTTTGTCAAAATGTGGCCAACCACGACCTGGATTTTCGACGCTTAACCCCTTCAGTGCTTTATTATTTAGTTTTTGAAAAATTTCCCGAAAAAAAGGACCAATTTTTTTATTGATAATTTCTAATCTGATTGCACTAAAAAGGAGCTAGTCTACTTGGAAAAATATTTGTACAACATAATTAATTAAATCAATACAATAAACTTTATTTCTCAACAATACATAAGAAAACCAGCTACCTACTGCTAATAAAAATAAGTATTATTAAAAAACAGCTGCAGATGCCACACCTTTCTTCACTAATGTCAGCTAAGCACCCTTGGGCTATTTCATTCAGAAAGCTTCGGGACTGTGAAAACTTTTGAAGCACAGAATAACGCAATGTGGCTCCACTCTCGACATTTACTTCCGAGCTGTCTTCATCCCCATCGGAGGAGCTGCTCGACTCGCCGTCATTGCTAGCATCACTTCCGGACCCAAGATGAGCATCTTTATCTGAATCATACTCACTCGAAGTTACCCAAAATGAGAAGCTCCGTTTTTACGTCGACAGCTCAGCTGTGCGTGGGTTGCCACTATCACGCGCCATCTTTTCATACAAAAACCACACTCCTGCCGCAGGAGAAAACTATATTATTGAGTAAATACTGCCACCTGGTGGATAACACACAATCTAGGCTGTGGACGAGCACTCCTCGTTGTGAACACAACAGAGGAGTACTTAATCCGCTAGCAAGAGCTCTGCTCGTCCAAAGCGATTGGGGGACAGTTTGGGTAGGGCAAGCTCTGCTCGTCCAAAGCGCTCAAGTGGTTGATCTAAGTGAGAAATATCTTTTGAACATAAATCGCAACATAAAACATCAAAGCAAAACAAGTCGCAACACGTAAGCCTGGACTAAGCCTGGTACTGCTGCAAGGGAACATGAGAGATGACCTTAAGAAATGGCAGTTCACCGTAGAATAAGCTTGGATAAAACCAATTCAATAAATTAGCAAAGTTTGGAAATTCCAGGATTTCTTTATTCAAGTTCCTCAATATTATACAACTCGAAGACAGCCAAGCTAGTAACCCCACGCCATTCGATACTAACTTTGGTAACCTGTACAGCCGTGCAACGAAGGTATTCATACAATAATTAGGTAATACACTCTAATCAATTTTCACTCGCCTTTCCTAATGCAACTGCTGATGTCGCCATGTCGAGGACAAACGAGTCACCGTCCTTCCCAGGAGCTGCCACACTGAGTGGATTGGTTCCTAGAAATTTCTGATTAGAAAAATTAAAAATGAAACATTGGTTTAAATTCAACGTTTATTTTTCTACATGCACAAGAGTTTGCTTCATCAAACCTACTTTCTAAACTCTTCAGATGATCCCAGTTTACCTTGTACAAGACATCACTATGCCTCTCATTTGAGAGAAAGAATCACATGTGCATATTTCAGGCATCTGCACAAGCTAGAAGCAATAGCTATTGACTGCGGTTGCTAGTGATTGATTCTAATGTCCCAAAGCAGGTCTCACATTTTGGTTACAAACAAACGGAGGGTGCTGAACTTGCGTTACATGGAATTACACAAATACCATGTTGTGGCAACAATGTGCATATGCAGGTACATATGCACATTGTAAGTTCGAAAAGTGCATATCACGAATTTAACATTTTTCAAGGGCAAAAGCCACAACAACAAGCAACACTCAAAGCAGAACTATAGTGGCAGCACATCCATTGTTTCCTAAAACAATGTGAAGTACCACAGAAACAACCTTGTTTTTAAGAAAGCACACAAAGCTCTAGAGAGTATGCCACTTGTTCCAATCATGATGTTATCTTAGTGGACAGGAATCTTTATACAGTGCTAGTGACAACATTCAGAAAGGTAGTAACGTTACATTAAGCACTTTTGTACAGAAGAATAACTTTCTTTCTTTTCAGTGGCAAGATATCGCCACCATAAATAGATATAAAACAATGCACATATGTCATTGATAACAGAAAAAGAAAGCTTCCCACCTTCCTTCCGCCAGACGGCGCCACCAGTGGAGATGCGTTGGTGCACGACATGCCCTAAAACATAGTGATGCAACATTATTAGCTTGAGCAACCATAGCACTCATTCGTTTCACAATATGCGTATCAAGCACACATTGTCAAATCCAAAGTCACAAACTGCTGAACTATAGAGTTATTCATTGAACTCCAGTAAACAACCCCACAGTCCAAAACTTGTGATGATGAGGTAACTGCACACTTGTTTGATGTGAACGTGCAAATAAGTGTGAACATGGTAATAATTTTGCCAATAAGTACATTAATAAGCAAGTTACAGGGGACCGAACAATCAATTCGGCTGGTTTCAGTTTGTTGCTTGGCCTCGCCACTTTGCATTCAGAGAAGTAGGCATAGCCCGATGGCATGACTATGCCCACATCAAGAGTGTGGGCATAGTCAACAACTCAACAACTCAACATCAGTGATTGCATCACAGGCACGCACTCAAGGCTCCTTCCATGTGTTGGTTGCTTGGGGTGTTCACGATTGGCAGGGCGAGGAATTACAGTGCAGTGCACAGACGAGGTAAATGAATGCATGAAAGGTGCGACAACTGTGCGACCAAAACTGCATCACCGAAAGACCCAAAGCACAGTTTCATAGTGCAAAAGACCGATTGCGAAGTTCAGTAGTACGTAAAATGCACAACATTACGTCACTTCATGGTAGAAGGGAGCTGGTGACAAACAAGAAAAGAATATGGGAATAGTTTTTGAAAATGTGGCATCTGTGTGACATGTGGCACTGTGATATTCGCAAAATGTGATTGCCACGGCCTTCTGAATAAATGAGCAAGCCTGTTCGGTATATGTAAAAAAAAGTGGGGGCCTGTTTATTGGGCCTTCATCGACTGTTTTGTACAGTCGAAAGATGGCATGAAAGATGGTTAGTACATACAATAATTTTTATGTCTATTCATTCTATTTGAATGGTTCAAAATTTTGAGAACTTATTGCCAAACATAATTTGCATGGAGCAATATTTATTCAAATGTTAGAAAGGCTTCAATATTCGTATTTCCGTAAAATATAAACATATCAGTAAGCTTCTTACACTTCGCACAAACTGGAAGCAACACTTATTGGCGAGCACTTAGTGCGTGCACATAGGACATATAAGACAAGTCATAATGCACATGTGCAGCATGTATTTTTTCAACACATTGCTTTACACATACAAAAACACACCTTATTCAATCTCACAATATCATTAACCTACCCACTTGACTGCAACCTTGAAAACTGTCGCAGTAGTAGCAGTCCAAATGTGCCACTGTGTGCTTACACTAATAACAAACTGGTAAATCCCTATTAACTGAATTTATTAATTTAATTATTCAAATAAGGTGACTTTGCAGTTCCCGCATGTAGAGAACCTGTGCTTTTACTACACAGATAAGTGCTGTTTGTAATATTTTTCGTAAGGTTACAGCATCTAGCATTGCTTTACTGGCACCTTAATTTTAATGTTCATATTTGCAACCTACAAAACTCTGACACAAAATTTTTCTTATGTAAATGCTGATTCTAAGTGCAATACATACGAACAAGTCTAGGTATTGCTATTAGCTGCTCACACCAATGAACACATTAGCAGACAAGCTCGTCTTTTTTTCTTTTGTTGATAAAACAGGAAAGCCCTTCTAGCCAACAACACACAATGCTTTCGCACAGAAACGCAGGCAACAAGGCAGTGCAATGTCCGCACAGCAACACAACAGGAAGCAAGCAAAAAAGAAGAGAAGAGTCATCTCGTAACAAATAACCGTCACTCACAATCATGCCTCTTGAAGATGCCATCATACTATAGTAACCCGCAATGCCATAGTGATTGGAACCTGTGGGGTCACAGTTCGAGAGCACAGTTCAAGTATTGTGCAGCCAGAATGTTATAATCCAGCACATCTCTGGCACAGCTTAGGCACTGCAGTGAGTACTTATATTGCTTCACATCTTCATAAAGGACACAAATCCAAAGGAAGCCATCATGAGCCAATCAAGTGGTAAATACTTGACTGACTAAAATACCGCTAGACAGAATGGACCCAAGCAAACTTCTTCTAAATGACGTAAAATTAAAGAACCTCACCTATTGCTATGTATTTGGGAAAATTTTAACATAGGAACCGTATTACACTTATAATAGTCATCAATCTTTTCCGATATATTTTGAACTAAATAAAGATATAACGAAGACACGCTTAAACAGTGAAAAGTTGTATGCGGGCTGAACAGGCAGAGGTCTCATCAATAAAGAAAACGTTTCAACACTCAAACTTAATTAAGAACAACTCAAACCCTAACTAATCCAAAGTAGTTCATCAAGTTTCTTGGACAACACTTCAAATATGCATTTTAAAAATCATCTTTTGTGCAAGGGTAAACTCGCTACTCCGAATTACATGGTAATGAGTGAGTGCCTTTATTTATTTATAGTAATTGTCTACCTTTCTACTTTTATTTTCTTTCAGTCTACTGTTTTGCGTCACTTTGAAATTACTGCCTGCCATTTGTTTTTCTTACTTCTTTCCTTAATTGCTTATTTGCGTATTGCTAACTTGTCGGCTTACTTTCTTACCTCCCCTCAGCTTTTACATTCGCTGCAACTCTATTATCCTAATATTAATACTTAAGCATATCAGCCGGGGGGACAAGGGGGGCACGAGCCCCCCAAATTTCGACAGTGGTCACTCTTAGCTGCACGCTAGGGAAACCAACAAGTAACGGGTAGTTTTCCATTACAACAGTAATCACTCAATTATGTTCCTATGGGAGAATGAAACTGTTATGAGACTATGTTACAACATAGTGAAATTTTGCCAACATTGCAGCTTTGATGATTCTTCTTGTAGGTTTATATATATATATTTCGGCTGATGAGTAAAACAGGCTTGCCCCCCCCCCCCTCCCAAAAGAGTTGGTACGCCACTGATTACTACATAACCATGATATTTATTAACTACTTCTCTTTACCTCTATCTTTTTACTTATTATTTGTAACATTATTGTGATGTTTAATTTCATCACTTATACTTAACAATACTATATTATTGCTAACTTCCCAAGTAATATGCACTATCAAGGCTGTGCTAATATGTTGCTTTTATAACTATGCACACTTATCAGCTGTTATGATACCTGATAGAATTGACAGTATCAATAAATATGTCAAGAAAACGAAACCTTCTCTGAAGTACTCTCAGCGAAACAGCAAAAAACAAGGCATGTTTGTAAGCTTTTAATCCTATAGTGCATTGAGCTGCTGCGTGGCAAATAAATTAGCTCAGTACTGTGCGTGGTAATGCTAACAGTAGTTCAAATAAATTCTGAAGTGTTATGTGCCAGCACCCTACACAAATGAGCTTCACTTTATGTTGTCAAGTTTTTCACCAATGTAACGAATGGCACCTGCAGTACAAAGTTGCGAGTTTTGGTGAATAAAAGGCCCAATATCATGCTTTATTAGATGTTTGACTTGCTGCTCACAGCAGGAATAGCAAAAAAGTAATATTTTGTTCATTTTTCACAATGCTACAGCAAATAATTAGCTGGTGCACAAACTTTTAGTTTGTGACTACAATGCTTTGAACATAATGCAATAAACTTATTTTCAGTGGCTCCGTAAGAACCGTGGCCCGCAAGAACAAGCACAGTCTGAATCGCTAGTCTAAGGAGGGCAGCCTGTCAGGCATGCAAGTCTCTGTTTTTCTGTGAAAATGTGCAGAGACTGACGTTGTTATGGTACTAAACATAGTCACGCCGTATGCCAGGTTCCTGTGCTGTGACTCAAGCACATATGGAAGCTTGTAGCTAACGTAGTGTTGCAGCAGTACTCAACCAGCACACTCAGCTACTTTAAACGAGTGTGATTTATAATCCCCCAATTCATCACTCTGCTAAATTACTTGCAATTTACGAAGCAATAGACCACCCACAGCAATGTCCTCGTGAAAAGTTGCTGCAAGCTTGATGTATTCAGCAACCGTCCCTCATAAGACATGTCTACACAAGAAGGGTTACCAAATAGTATTTGTATAGCAGCCACACACAGAGAGGACTTTACCTTTTGCCACGACCCATCCAATGCCCGCCTGCTGTGCCTTCTGTATCGCCAACTCCATGCAGAATTTGCCTACGACGGGACCGAGAAGGTTCTTGCCGTCGACAAGCGCAGTGGCACCTAGCTCGTTGATGACCACAGGCTTGCCAGAAGGCTCACAGACACCCTTCTCGATATCAGTCACATACATCTCTGTTGGTGAAAGGGTAAAAATAGATCAGATCGTAGTAAGCCATGGAAAGCAAAGGCGCTTAAAAGAGTGACAATGCATGTGCTCAAGAAAAAAATCTTATAGTGATTATACTATATCTCAACTTTCAGATGCCACAACCAGAATTTGATGATGAGGCATGTCTCAGTGAATGGCTCCGAAAATTTCAACCATGTGGTGTTTTTGATCTAGCATTTTTCATCCATCAATATGCAACTGCAGCAGCCAGGATCAAGCCCATCGCCTTGTGTGTGTGTGCATGTGTGCGCTCCCGCGCGTGTGCAACTCATTTTTAAAAAGCCCTCAAGCTGACTTTAGCCTATATATGTCCAATGTGTACACCTAAGATACATCATTTCAGCAGTCGTAAGCGATCACAGACTATACCTGACACATCCTGAAAAACAGCTGAGATAATGTATACTATACCTACGTCGTTATATATTATTAAGAGCATGTGTAGTAAGTATCAGAAGCCAAACATAATGCCCCCATACCGTCTTGCAGGCAGTCAACTGTATCTAACTCTTTCCCTTAGGAACTGAGAAGTGGTTGAAATATCCTGCCCTTTAATGGTCCAGAAAGAAGATACTGCTCCATAAAACTAGCACTACTGCTCCATTTTGAGGTTATATGCAGTGGTATTACTAATACAAGTGACAAGCAGTTGTATCACATGCATTATTTGCAGCCGAAAAGCCCCCCCCCCCCCCCCCCCCACTGGACCTCATGCTTACGTGTTATGCAGAGAAGGCGAGGCAATGGCAAGCTTCGTACTACTTGTGGCTGTTGGAATGGGATGAAAAAACTTTATTTTTGAAAAAACTTTATTCACATGAGAAATTTTTTTCTTCCTTAAAACAAAATCTGCTTTTCTAAAACTTTCAGCATGTTTTACTGACAAACCATACTATGTAACAATATATAAGCCATGTTTTTTTTTTTTTTACTTCGACCACTACATTGCGAAAATTAAGGCGCAATTGGAGTCAAGATGTCATTTTTTTTTCCAACTTCGTCACAATATTCGGGCAATGTCTGTGCTTTCATTCGCTCCTGAAATAGCTTAATCAGATTTGCGCGTTCCTTTCCTCGAGTTTTGTTATCGCCCCGTTACCCTATGTTCAGCGCGAACCGCGCCTGCGGCGTTAGAGAAGCTTCGAGGCTGTGGTCGATCATTTTGTTAAGATTACGCCCACTTCGTGAGCCTTTCAGATTATTCTGGAACCTACGTCGCTGCTAGCGATAACGCTGAAATATCCGATGGCAAGTTTATAAATGCCGACACGCCTCGCCGCTTGTCAGTTGATCGACGGCCGACGCTCTGCTCGCCGCTATCAGAATCAAGGGGATTTCTTCCTCAAGTGTTTTTATAACTCGCCACAGAGGCATAGTTGTTACAGTTCTCGCCTGCTGAACTGCAAGTCACAGGATCAAATCTCGGCCGCCGCATTATCAATGAAGGCGAGAATTGATTGATATGTGCGGTTTAACGTCTTAAAACCACTATACGATTATGAGAGACGCCGTAGTGGAGGGCTCCGGAAATTTCGACCACCTGGGTTTCTTTAACGCGCACCCAAATTTGAGCACACGGGCCTACAACATTTCCGCGTCCATCGGCAATGCAGGCGCCGCAGCCGGGATTCGATCCCGCGACCTGCGGGTCAGCAGCCGAGTACCTTAGCCGACTAGAACACAGCAGCGGGGCAATGGAGGCGAGAATGTTCAAGGCCCCTGTTTTTTTTTTTTTTTTATTCGAACCCTGGGTAATTGGAATTTCCGGAGGGCGTCGTTTCTCATAATCATGCCGCTGTTCTGCGATGTTAAACCGAAACGTTATTAGTAAGCTTTTATTTAACACGCTCCTGAATATAGTCGCATAGCTTTTCATTGTATATCGTCTTTAATCGAAATTCGACCGCTGTGGGAGTGAATCGCATCGTTTCATAACTGGTGAGAAACCACAGCAAGAAACAAGCTGCACCTTTTTAGCTCCTGCTGATTACCTGACGGGTCGCCGGCAGGCCAGCGATGACATGAATCGCTCCGGGAAAAAAAAAAAAAAAGCACTCGGCAAACGCCGGGGCGGAAAGTAGCAGACGAAACCAGACAAGCACCGCCTTTGGGCGTGCGCCGCGTTTATAAATCTCACGTGCTTTACAAAAAGCTATGGGAGACACGAGTTAAAAGAGAGTTTCGCCTTACGCAGCCGATTCATTCCGTGGCTGAAGTGTCCCCTGTAGTCACCGGCCACGAGGACCTCGGCCAAGGCCTGAGCGTGGGCGTCGTCAGTGCCGACCTTGCGCATGCAGCGGACAATGAAGGCCCGCATTTCCTCCTTGGGGACGACGATGCCATTGTCCTGCTTCACCGATGCTGCTGCCATTCTGACAACGGTGGTGCTTGCCGGAGAGCTCCGCACAAAAGAACTGGGTGGGAAAGGCGAGCGGAGAAACAGGCGAACGACCCGTAAAGCCGACGACGCAGCTTGCATAGGCACTTGTTTCACTCGCAACACGGATTCGCTCGCAGGATTTCAAGCTGGACGGTTGTGCCCTCGCGATCTCCGACTTCAGCGTAGCTCCCGCCGACTGGTTCGCCCTCCGCGGTCTCCTGACGCCGTGTAGCTCTCGCACTGTGGCACCCCGCCCTTGGACTGCTTCGACCGGATCCCCACTTTCCTATCTCCTTCTTTTTCCTCTCGTTGGCTGTCTTCTTCTGCTTCTACTTTCCTTCTATCCTTTTTATCCCTCCTTCACCCCACCCCTATAAGGCACTGCGCCGTGTCGCCTGAAGGCAGACAGAAATTAGGTGCCTTTTTCCTCTTCATTGTAACCACTACCACCACCCACTCGCAACACGTGTGGCGGCACATACGTCGTTTCTAATCGCAGACACACCTAACTGCACGCAGGCAATGATTACGGGTTGACCTTATCCTTCGTTTGCCCACACTATTGTAGTTTCTAGGTCGCCCTTTTTCGCTACTCCAGTCAACTTATCGTGTTGGCTCTTATCTCATATGATAACGATTGGAAGACAGCTCAGCTTTCGGCCCATTTTATGGCATGCGGTCTTCGTGCGAAGGCAGCCTTCCCTTAATGTCAGTGAGTTCGAAGAATGCACTGCCTGCACGAGAAATTAAAAAAAGAAAAAATAACATAAGTGGTTGGTTAGCATATTACTTCGAAAATACAGAAGACGGGGTCCTGAAAGCATGGTCGTCGCAAGAAGGGTTTAAATGCCCCCCCCCCCCCCAATCCCCGAGACAAAAGGTGACACAAATTAGAAACACCTAACCAGTTGAGACTAATAAAGTACTCATTGAAACTATATTAACTATGCAGTCAGTAACATTTAATTCCTGCAGGCAGGTTTTCGAAATTTAAGAAAGAACACTAAACATTCATTTGAAAGCACACTAAAGGCAAAGATTAAGTTGATTGCTAAAATAGCGGGCCAGAAACGTCGTAGTGCTACTTTTGTGCCAAGGAAGAGCTGATTATGAAAGAAAATCGCGTTTTAGTAGTACCCATCACGTTAGCACACTTCAAATCACTCGCCTCAAATGGAAACTTTCACGTCAATGTTGCTGTGCACAACGTTGCCCGGCGTTACTGTGCAGACGCGGACACTAAAGATAGTGTGACCTACTGAAGACCTTTTAAAAACGCCTCCCTTGTCGCCGCCATAGTCCTCTTTGGGCTGCGCGAATTGGCGTGACCCTTCAAAAATGCACCGACAAGGCTGCGCCCTTAGCCTTTGTACTCTCGCGCGCAGCCCATCATGGCGGTGTTTTTTCCCTCCTGTGAAAAGGTGTTACTTCTGTGAAAAGGTGTTACACCTTTTCACAGAAGGGAGTTGCGGGAGCCATGTGCACCGCAGCAACAACGACCATTGAGCAATTTTCTGCCATGGCCTCCGAGGTGGCAGGCGTGCTTTGTTGAACTGAGCCCCGCTAGACGGCACGACCTGTTCAGTCTACCCCGGTGAAAATAGAACTTTGGAACCACTCGCGCCGTTCTTCATAGTAACGTCCAGCAGGTTTTTTTTTTTTTCTTCGTGAATCAAACAAGCAGCATTTCATTGCATCTCTTGATCCACAGAAGACTCTTTATTTAGTGCAGCTAGTTCGATTACTAGCGATTGATTGTAGGCGGTAGCTTTGACGACATCGGGATCATTTTGAGATTGTCCTACTCGTGGCGCATGTGCTCTGGTGCATTTACTTTAGTTTCTCGGTAAGTAGGCCAGTGCTGTTGATAATATTGTCGTTTTAAATGTTCGCATACATTGAGCTCTGACATAAATTACTATTCGACTTCAGTTTCCCTTCAAGGTCTCGCACCAAAACTTGCACACCCCGCATAGTGCTCACAAGTTGAAACGAGACATGATAACTTTGCACACAGACACTGCAGGGGGCGCAAGTTATTGTGCCCGACGCCAACAAGCAAAGAGAGTGAAAACACTCACAGTTGAAGGGTCTGTCCCTACTGGTGGCAAGTTATCTTTTTAGACACTTTCCTTTCTCCTCACTTATATTACAATTATTTCTAATAACTTCCCCTATACTTTCCTTGGCATTGTTGTTTGTTAGTTCAAATTAATATACTGCAGACAAAGTGTAACTTTCTAGCGGCCGTTCAAACAGAATGATAACTTGAGGCCACAATTTCTTATCTGATTTAATGAAACAGCTGTTATAGTGTAACATGCATCATACAATTAAGTCAACAAAAAGCCAATTGTCACATAATTAATGGTGCTTATATATATAAATGTCTTTAGAGGGAGGGCTAAGTTGTTCCTGAATGTGTACTTAGTTTCTGGTTGGCTACGTCCTGTAAGATCCAAGAATGACTGGCTACAATTTACAGTGTAACAGAATAATGAGGCATGTGTTTAGAATGCGAAGCATGTAATAGAATAAGTGAAACTTTAAAATTAAAATGTGTGAACCAATCAGTGTTATCTTCACTTCAACAATGAGAATTTTCTCAAGGACACAGCAGTATTGAAACACACGAAATTCTCACAGCTTCCAGTAACATATCTAGTATTTCAGCATATCAGTGGTTTTCCAGGCCAGCATGTGTGCTGCAATGTCTACAGTCCAACTCTCGCAGTAACAAATGTCCACATTTGCCTAAGAAAAAAACATGCCCTAGTAACATTTAGGTGACGTACCAATATAACAAAATTTTACAAATACTGGAAAAGCATGTTCAAGCAATCACGTGAACACTTTGTGGCCAAAGCCAATGTACAGCATAACACACACTCTATTCAATAGATGCAGAACTAACATTTGCTTATTCAGCTAATAAGTAAGCCTCACGAGACTGAAGTGCATTACGTGCTCAGGTGACCTTGGAAAACTATTATTTGATTGCTTTTTTTGTATGAAGAAAGCTTTTGGACAACATGGCACTCATGTTGTTCTGTACTGTCTAACGCAATTTATCGCATCTGTATGTCCATTTCTACCTGTGCTAAAACAACGCACAAGACAACATACTATATAACACTATGTGGCCACCCCTACCACAACATATGGCAAGCTATGCAAAAAATCAAGCAACCTGTTCTTGGGTGCGAACCACAATTAATTCATAAGACAATTTTGCACAACAAGCATGGTAGTGTTATTCATGCAAAAGAACAATCTAAAGGTGATATACGTTGTATTTACTCTAATGCAACAAGTTTTTTTTTCCAGGTTATTTGTACCTGAAGTTGACCCTCGCATTACAATAAAAATTTATTTTCTTCCTGGACGCAATGAAAACTCAGTCTTCCTGTTACAACTGTGCTTGCATTACAATCAAGTAAATATGGCATGTATGAAATGGTATAAAATAAGGAAATATGACTGAAGAGGCGCAGTACTACTGGGTGCCAATGAAACTCATGCAAACGTAATGCAACATCATGTTCCCACAATAGAAAGATAGGCAGGTACTGATGATGTGAAAAGGCACAAAAAATATTACTACAAAGAAAATAATACCAAACAATGTGCAACTAACAGGTGACATATTTTACCAAAGAAAATATGTCAGTCGCTGGTAACAGGTCTTTCTGCACTCTTTTATTCGTAGATTTTCACATCTAGAATCAAATTCCCAATGCCACAGCAAAAACTAAATAGAGCACTATGTAAGTAAAGAATACATATGCATCATGACCTGCACATCCCATTTCAATTGCAATGCTCTTTGGACATACGCACAGCATGCTCACCACATTCATTAGAATGTGGTCAGTGGATAATTTTGCTACGTCTCCGGGCCTGCCCAGTGAATGTAGCTTTGGCTACTTCAATGCAAAGTGGGTAAACTCTCGGTCAAGCTTTGCGTTCCCCATTAAAGATCCAATCAGAGCAAGCTACATGCCGCAATGTATTAGGTACTAGTTTAGGGATCGCATTTTGTCGTTAAGAATAGTTGAAGCATGGGCTTGCAAGCCCCAACCATTGAGTCATATGACTGCCCCAGCGTGTTGCAGTCGTTGGCTACCACCTCCTTTTGGCATAATGAACTCCAACAGCTTTAATTGAGTGACAACTCACAACAGCAGTGCTATTTTATGCGAATACAGCAAACAGACACCCAGTCATCTTCGTATATCGAGGTATGTGTGGTACACATACCTCGATATACTTAAGGATTAAAGGTCATAGCTTTAAATGTTGCAAATTAGTGCGAAAGATTGGCCAAGCTGGACTGCCACAAGTCTGTTGGCACGTTCCTCCTATTTACAATTATATCCATGAATAACATAACTTAACTATATATCCATCATCCCCGCCAGAGAGAGATACAACAGCTGCCGAACAAGACAAACTTCAACCTTGACGAAAGCAATGCTTCAACGTGGGGTCCTGTCGTCAGCAGATCACTACAATCACTCAAAGTTTGTGTACTGCTCTGAGCCCGTCATGTAGTTCAAATAGCCGAACATATACTGCAACGTTTATTTTATGTGTTCTACTTAGGCTGAAAATGCTAGTGACATATTATTGCCTTCCCCCTTCTATTCTTCCATTACATAGCTTTCACATAGAACAAATACTTCGTCTCGGGGTGTCCTGAACTTTGCGCGAGTGCACTACAAAACACCACTCACTCAAAGCAAATATAAAACTCCGAACTCTGCTTGTTTATAAGCAGTAGCCGATAAATATTGTTTATCCTAAGATCGTGGCGTGATACCAAAACAAAGCGTTTTCACCATATCAGCAGGAAACTACAAGGGCACGTCTGCGATTCTTGTCAAACACCCAGACAACGCGAAACAAAGTTACGACATACTGCGTTACTTCGAAAGGGCAGATTCCCATTTTACGCTTTCTACGCATCGACCCGGCAGCGAGATCCAGTGAAGGCATAGCCCACATTCCCGCTTGGTATGTTTTACAACGCGCGGCGGAAATGAGCCTGCAGCGATGAAAGCGGGATGAACAGTCGTCGTGTTTACACAATTTGGCACAAGATGAAGCATATTGCATACGCACTACTTCAGTTCCGCCCAGCCTTCACGTCCGAGTTGGTGAGGTCCTTTTCCGGTTAACAGTGGCCGGAGGTCATGCACCAGATATTGCGCAACCACAGCTGCTGGTCAACACGTTCGTATCCGATACCGGCGACCGTGGCACTGGCCAGTGCCTCCTCTATAACTTAGAAGAGGCACTGCACTGGCACGTTTGTCAGGTGGCACAACAAAACAATCACGTGACTAGTCACGTCGGCATTCTGCGCGGGTGATTCAAACATCCTTCGTGTGTGTGGTATGTAACACCTCAAATAAAGCTACGGTGAGTGCTGTTTGAAACAGGCTGCAGTGCGACACTATTTAACATTGTTCCTCGGGAGTTTTTTTTCTTTTTTTTGTTACGGTCGTGAGTCATGATGATAGCTAGTGGCGTATCCAGGAGATGACACAACGGGCTGTGACCCCCCCCCCCCCTCCTCGTGGGCACCGCCAAATCAAATGAAGAAAAGTGGCGAGCTGATCGCATGCCGAGCAGTTAAGGGAAATGTCCGTATACTGCGCCATAAACTGGTATGTATTCTGTGGCCATAGTGGCAGGAGGGATATCTGCTGCCACATGCACTCTTGTGCATTCGCCTTAATTTCTCGGTAAGTAGGGCACTGCTGTTGATAATATGGTCGTTTTAGATGTTTTCATACATTGAGCTTTCACTCCGAAGTAAATTGTTATTCGACTTTAGTGTCCCTTTAAGATCTCATTTCGCAGAAATTCTGGCGTCGGCATCATTGGTTGTGAGCGAAAAATGATCAACGAAAAATTATCAAGTGCATATATGATCCCAAGATTGTTTATGGGTAAAAATACATTTATTACAAAACAGGATAATGTCGTATATCTTAATATTTAGAATGCCTTACCACAGTGCTTTACCCCACCGCGGTGGTCTCGGGTACTCGGCTGCTGACCCGCAGGTAGCGGGATAGAATCCGGGCTGCGGCGGCTGCATTTTCAATGGAGGCGAGAATGCTGTAGGCCCGTGTGCTCAGATTTGGAAGCACATTGAAGAACCCCAGGTGGTTGAAATTTCCGGAGCCCTCCACGTACTACGGCGTCTCTCGTGATCAAATGGTGGTTTTGGGACGTTAAGCCCCACGTATCTATCTATCTATCTATCTATCTATCTATCTATCTATCTATCTATCTATCTATCTATCTATCTATCTATCTATCTATCTATCTATCTATCTATCTATATATCTATCTATCTATCTATCTATCTATCTATCTATCTATCTACCATACTGCATTGTTAAAAATTGTATCGTGTTTATTTGCTTTTTCTTGTGTGCAGTTTTCTTCACTGCTGCTTGTAAGCACTACTGTACAAGATTCTGTAGCAGCCCCAAGTCGTGGAGCACAGTGACGGAGACACTGAATTCTTGAGGCTATACAGGCGTAGTAAGCTTCGTCCTTGCTGTCACCCTTTCAACTGCATTTTGTGCAATATTCATTTCTACTTTATTAACAATAAAGCCTCTTTGCACATAATGAAGTAATTGCTACATTTGAGGATGCCTGTCTGTTCATTTACATGAAGGGGAATTCTGAAGGGTTTCAATTCTGTGCTTAGCAAATTTATTAACGCGATAGAGTTAAAGAGCTCATTTCGCGAAAATTCCGGTGTCGTTGGTTGTGAGCTGAAAATCGTGCGTGACCGAAAAGTCGAGAACGATGCAAATAAAGTAAATAAATGATAAAGAAAATCCTGAAGCATAGTGGGGACTGAACCAGGGTTGTTTGGTTCCAAGTGGAACCCGGGTCGTTTGCTTGTCAAGCGGGTGTTCTACCACGAAACCACACCCCTGCTTGTGATAACAGCGTAAAGAAGTTCCTCTGCTTGGAAATGCAGTATAAGTAGCGTTCATGCTTCACAAACACACGCGTCCTGTGTATACATGCTTCACAATGCAACGTGAAACATTGCAGTGTTAATGCGTGGTACAAGCGTCCATTGCCAACGGGCGTCAGAATATGCGACTACATCATTCTGGCTCCGTGTTGGAAAGCCGGATACCCCCACTACAAAAGGCACACACGCTGCTGCGCCTATTCCCTTCAGGCCACGCAGTGGGTGCATAGAAAATTCGAAAAGGTTTCGTGGACTAGAAACAGGATGTCGCTATTGCGTTCAACTCCTAAAGGCGAAGCTTTAAGGTCCCCTAATTTTCATTGGCTAAATAGACGCTTGCATGTAGGTCTGTGAGCGGGCAGGACCTCTGTCAAGCAGTATAGTAGCTTTTAGTCCTGTCCCCTCTTTTTCAAGTGTGAAGAGAAATAACATTGAATGATTTATTGATTGGTTGATTGATTGAAAGAATTAATTAATGAATGAATTAATGAATGAACAAGTATATTGCCGAATTTCTTGGTGATCAGCACAACGGCTGACACAGGCAAGAAGTAAAACGACAGTAAAGCGCTTCCTGTTTCCTTTTTTTCTTTCTGTGGTTGTCGTCAGGCTGCTAATGAAATGTGTTTTAATGGCTTATACCCGTGCCACACGGGCATAGAAAATGACATTTGGTGGCGAAGGCCTTCAGTTCCCGAATGACATTCGTTTCGCCGGCGCTGCTACACGTCCAAGGCGAATGACATTTGACTTGATGATGTCGATCACAGCACCTTCCAAGTGAGCATTGAGTGAATAGCAATAAAAAAAATTAAGAACCATTTACAAGTTTCATACACATCATATAATCATCAAATGTAGAAATAAGCGTATTACGCTGTCCTAAGTTTTAGTTTCTTGCTTTGTTTTACAACGTTGCAGCCGACCGTAGCAACCTAAGCCAACACTAGTCAGATCCACAGCGTAAATATACACTAAAATTGACATGCGTTTCATTATCAATACTTTATTTTCTTCGTATAACGTTCAAAGCATCTTTTTAAGACTTTAGTGCAAATAAAAGACGGGAAATTTCATTTTAGCTCAATATGATTTCTTTTATATACTTTCAGGTAAATCGCACTTCGCGAGCTGTGTCGTCGAGAGTAGGCATTTCTCAGTCAACTGAGTTCTGGCGAAGGCAGTTGGCGGCGAATGGCATTCGGATGAATGCCATTTTGTTCGCCCGTGTGGCACCGCGCGAATGGCAATAAATCTGAAGGCATTCGGGGGTAAATGCCATTTTTTCTGCCCGTGTGGCACGGGTATTACTCGTTAACTTTTTTGCATGAAAAATTCAGACAGGAACAGAGAACCACAGCATTAAAAATGCAAAACAAGATATCATAACATGTCAGAAAGGCGCTGACTTGGGCTTGTTGGTTTGCCATACTCGTAAACTGTTGCACGTGAAAGACGTACACAGGAACACATGGAGCCCGAATTGACACATTTCTAATATATTGTAATAATTTGTTTGGCATTTCTGATGGCACTACACCAAAAGACAAAAACATCTATAAAACGTCTAAGCTTCGTCCTGCAAGACTTTTTTTAGATGACAACTACCAGTACGCAAAAATCGAAAACTTCTAAACTTGGTCTTGCGAGATTTCTTTTCGATGACAACTAGCGAAGCGGGAAAAAAAATGACAACGCCTAGAAAACGTCTAAACTTGTTTTAAACTGGAATATACATAAACTTCAGACCAGGAATACTGCTGGCACATTATCGACATCGAGATCTATTTTGTTATTTTACTGCAGGGTCCCCATCTGGAGCAGCAAGCAAGCGCATACACAAAAAAAAAATACTGCCGACAGCCAGGATAGTCACATCGTGTAATTTAAAGCCTCGGTTAAAACGCATAACTAATTTCGCTTGATCCGTCTAACGCGCACGAAGTGGCCACAGTTCCATGGCCACACGAAGGTGCCCGAGAAAAGGTGCCGCGTAGTTGCAGCACTACGGCGTTATGGGAACATTAAAATCAAGCGCGGTGCCTTGGCAGTCGGCCTCAACTCGTGCAGAAGCAGCTTAGTCGGCATGCACTGGCGATGGAGCTGCTCGACGCCTTCAGAGCACTGAGTGCATAAGGTGTGGCGCTCGCCAGACGGCCGCCGCGTGTCCGCTGCGTCCGGCCTGCATGGGCGTCCCTTCGGACCACTGCTCGGACTCGAGGTCGAAGACCTCCACCGAGGAGAGGAAGTCGCTGCCATCGTAGCCACCTGTGGACGCGAGAACAGGGGTCATCGTGCTATCATCACCAATCTAAAGGAGGTAGTCTCACGACGTCACCCGCAAGGGGCGCTAGTGCAGCAAGTCGCCCTTCTTGTGGTCTCGCACGTTAAATCATCGTCGGTACAAAATCAGAGTTCTCGGCAGCACTTTTCATTTATCTAACAAAACGAGTTAGGGAGCTCTAGCGTCGCTAAAGATCAGGCTATCATATACCGCATCACGATCACAGCTGTGGCAGTGAAGAGTCACTTTATATTCTACCTAAGATAGCATATACTGTTACTGTATGACAGCGCACGCAAGGGCACTGCCTGGTGAGAGGAGCTTAGTAAATACCTCCTACGCGCACGCATTGTAGCCGTACAGTGCTCACAAAATGAAAAGCGACATCAAAACTCACTACGTACAGGTATACAGCTCCACGTCGTCATGAAAAAAGCGAACTACAATATGGAACCACATTGGGCTATATAGTTGATGTTGCATGATCGAAAGTGAACGACGGCGCGTACGATAAGGACACAAAGAATGACAGCGCTTGTGATTCAGCGCTCGCGTTACAGTTGTATCGGTGTCCATTCAGTACTCGCTTCTATTTCACTTTAGATCATAGTGAAAAGAACGTAAACGTCTTTCTTCGATCACTACCCCTCTGGTCACGTGTGACCAGCGTGACACATGCTACTGCTTTACTACTAGTAGGACTACAACGACAAAGGATAGACTGATCCAGCTTATAAATAAAAAAAAAAGTGTCCTACGACTCTCATTGCACATGTATGAGTCGAATATGTAGAACTCCCTTCAGAGAGGGACGTGAACTCCTTAGGAAAATGATGGGACGACTCGACATCCTAACAGAGAGTCAATGCACTACTCTCCCTAAGAGAGTCAATGTGACTCTCTAAAGGGAGTTCTCCGCACGCAACTCTCATGTGTAAAAAGTCAAAGTTCTTAGAGTGTTTGGCAGCTCCCCAGATAAACCTCGTGATGCACAGGATGGTGCTTACCGACAGTGTCGCATGTCCAGAAAGATCACGAGCAAGGAACATACATCGTGCGATGGCGGCTACTTCTGTTCTTTTAAAAGCGTGTATTCGTTATTATATCCAAATGAAAGTAATACTTTCTAATCACATTAAACAGAATATCTAGTTTCTAAGCGCAACTCTAGCGTAATACGAGCTCCCAGCTCTTGCTTTCTATCTTTCGACCCCTTTCAAACTCCCCTGTCTTTTTACCCAGTGCAGGGTAGCACACCAGTCTTCCTAGATGGGTTAACATCTCCACGTTTCCTCCCCCTTCTGTCTCTTTAATCCTTCCAGTCATTTCCTGCTATGCTGGTTACAACATGAAAGACGGTCATGTACTCTCTTTGCGATAATGCGTAAAGCTACATCTTTTTTTTTCTCCATCCTTCATTTCCCATCGTGTAAAGAAAAAACCTCCCACGAATTGCGCATGAAAACTGTCTAGTATATTTATATTTTGTTCGTGGGTAATTTTCATTAAAATAACGCAGTCATAGTCGAGCAACCGTATTTATACCTCACTGCATGTGGATGAATTCCCACAAATCCTTCTACACAAGTAATGGTATAGACGATCGGATATTCCTTCATTTTCATATGAAGGCTCCACGTAAATAAGAATTTGCGGCACGACAGAAGCGACCTGCAGCACTGTAGAAATCTCGGGGAGGGGGTGGGACACCAAGCTCTTGCAAGTACCCCTCCCCCCATTCTGCTCCTAGATTGAACACAATGCGGTCAGGACAAAGGTGGCCATTGGTGGCTACTTTACGCCAAATTGCCTTCTTTCTCACTTGCCGACTAAAGTTTTTTTTTTGTTGGCGCCATGGCAATTTACTGGCTATGCTTAATTTTTCTGTTTTACTTATTCGAAATGGCTTTATTTATTAATCAGAGTAAAGACTCGGTTCATTCTACCGCTCCTCTTCTCTTTGGCAACAAACTTGGCTATAATATTAAATGACATGGCTATGGTTCGAGTTATTTTTCAATTCCACCCCACGACAACCCTGGCTAGGACAACCTTACGCCTCTGCTCACCGAGTGCGTATATCTTTCCTCCCAGGTGTGCGAGAGCAAGGGCGCTGCGTGGCTCCTTCATGGAGGCCACCACGTCCCACTGGTCACGCTCGACGTCGTAGCGCTCGGCCGAGGTCAGCTGGCTGCTGCCGTCGTAGCCACCCACCACGTAGATCCAGCGCTCCACGGCTACGACACCTGAGAGTGAGCCGAGCGACCACGTAGTCGGTCCATAAAGTACGAACGTATGGTATAACGAGCATAGGCGTTGATTGGCTCTGCTATTTCAGTGCTGTAAGCGGCACATGTACTACGCTCATATTGCCCCACGCGCTTCTTCTTTAAGGCTCGTTCACACCGAAGGCCAAAGCGGCGAGGCGGCAACGCAGAAAAAACCTCCTCTCCAGGCGGCGAAAGTGGAAGAAAAACCAGCCGGCAAGGCCGATCGCTGTCGGAGCAATTTTTTTGCCGCCTGCCGAGGCTCGCCGCTTTGCCGCAACCAATCAGAACGCCACGCAGCGGAGGCGCGGTGGTGGCGCGGGTTTACGTTCGGGAGAAGCACTGACACGTCATAGCGGCACATGCACAAAATCGCGAGATGCCTGCCTCTTCTGCCGCGCGGCCAGAAGAAGGAGGCATGTGGTCTGAACAGGTTCACGCATCGCCGCTTCGGAAATCGCGCCCACAAAGCCTGCCACAAAGCCTGGAGGGAATGCTAAACGCGAACTGTGCATCATTGTTCATGGAGGTTCACGGTTATTGTAGATCATTTTGTTAGGATTACGCCCACCTCGTGAACCTTAGATACTTCTGGAACCTAGGTTGCTGCTAGCGATATTTCTAAAATATTCGATGGCAAGTATATGATTGCCGACACGCTTCGCCGCTTGTTAGTTCATCAAAGGCCGACGCTCGATCTGCTCGCCGCTATCAATGTCAGTATCCTGCTGTAATCCGACTTTTCTTTTATGTGGCCACAAGTTCGGCTCAAATAAACAGTTCGACTTCTGATCTGCTGCCTTCATTCATGTCACGACCCCATGACATCTGGTGAAGGTGCTGGGTAACAATCTGCGAGAGGTGTACAATGCCACGCACGTTTCTTGATTGATAAGGGGGGGTTTAACGTCCCAAAACCATCATATGATTATGAGGGACAACATAGTGGAGGACTCCGGAAATTTCGACCTTCTGGAGTTCTTCAACGTGTGCCCAAACCTGAGCACACGGGCCTACAGCATTTTCGCCTCCATCAAAAATTCAGCCGACGCAGCTGGGATTTGATCCCGTGACCTGCGGCTCAGCAGCCGAGTATCTTAGCCACTAAACCATCCGCGGCAGGGCCACACGCGTTTCTTCTTTACACTTATGTTTCACCAGATGTCATGGGTCATGACGTGTACTTGACGCGGCCGGTAAGTTTCCTGCCAATCAAGATGGGGGACATATCATTAGTGAAGCTGGCTGACCAATGGAAAAAGGCAGTTATGCAATCGAAAGGGGGGTTTTGTAAGTGCAGCCCGTCGCCTCCTCCTTATCGTTTCGTGCTTATGGCGCGTTTAGTTCCCGCAAATTATTATTAAAATCGAAAATTTGTCATTCACAGATCAGCCAAAATTGTGAAGCTCTCTCTCTCTCAGCCTCACTGATTCAATATATTCGGCGTTTAGAACTCACCTAGACTCACGTTGATGAAAGTTTTCTTCAATCGGACTACAACTCACCAAAATATTTCACACCTGGACTCACTCACACTAAAGGATCGGCCTGAGCCCGAGTGAGTCGATTCATGAGTGACTTGGCCGACCTATAAGGCGTAAATTATCCAGCCGTACGTGTTGTCGGGGCCATGGACGTGACACACACGTGATGTACATTGACAACCATTGAATGAACACGCACCAGCCCCGCTGCGGCAGGTGTTCATGGGCGCCACGTCGACCCACTGGTCCCTGTCCGGGTCGTAGCACTCGACCGAGCTGAGCCTCGCCTGTCCGTTGTATCCCCCCAGGGCGAAGAGCAGCCGACGCTGGACGGCCACGCCGACGCCGATGCGCGCGCGAGCCATTGACGCCACGTACGACCACTTGTCCTCGGCCGGGTCGTATCTGCGCACGTGATGTCATAGACGCTTCAAGATGACGGATTTTATGACGTAATAACAGCGTATATAGTCATGTTGCGGTTAAGTTGCTTCAGTGTGATAACGTTACCTTGTGGTTACGTAAAAGGTGGTGACTATACTACAATCTGAAATCTCAACGATAACCGGTGATACGGCATTTCTGAAAGACTTGCGTAACATCGAAATTTACCTGATTAAGGTAAGGCCTCAAGCTTTGCTATTTCACCGGTGCCCACGCAGATGGTTAGCTTTTTTATAGAGGCTACTGTTACAACCATATTACGCAGCATAGTTGAGACAAATAGTTAACACGGTAATAAATGACACGTAAATAATTTTGTGCTTGTAGTTGATTGTCTCGTATCCTCTCCGCGCTACTTGCCGCGAACGATTGTTTGTGGCACGAGGAAATGTTTGTACGACGTGAGCACAATTAAGTGACAACAGCAAAGCGCTATCAGCGTAGATTGCAAGGACACATATTTATTGTTCCCTGACGAATGAGCTTTGCACCGTATGGTCTACTTATATCAGGCCTGCATTGAGCCGGTTCCGAAGGCGGGGAAACTATACACTGCGTCTCAAAGCGACCTAGCTGACACACCTGCGAAAGATCAAGTGATTTGGCGTTTTCAGGAACGAGGGAAGGAAATTTTTATTTTGCAACGAGAAGGAGAACGCGTTGCTTATAGAGGAACCTTAGCGTAGATGTGGTAGAGATGCTAAGTTGTGGATAGGCTGCGTCGCGCATGTGTCTTCGACACAACTAAGTAGATTTGATAGTTTTACTGAAGTATTCTGCAATTCAAAGCCGTAAATCAATCGTGCAATCTTTATTCTATCATTAAATTTTGTTTGAGTGGTGTTATATGCTATTTGGTGCATGCGAGAACTATGGCGAAGCGCCACCTGCTCATACGACAAGCAGCTGCTGCGGCTTGATGGCTACCTTAACGGCGACACAAGAAAGCCAGAATAGGTGACTAAAAGAATAGCTATTGTACTCTTTCACGCTCGAGTCCATTTTTTGTTCTGGGCATAACCAGGTGCTGTAATGACGTGCATTCGGCCATCCTGTTACAGGATGGATTCGCACCTCTCCACCGAGTAGTGCTGCGTGGTGCCGCACGACCCTCCGACGGCGTAGAGTAGCCCGTCGAGTACGGCTACCCCGACGCGGTTTCGAGGCACCTGCAGGTCGGCGCAGGCGCTCCACGCGTTCGCCACCGGGTCGTAGCAGTCGACCGAGGCGCAGTCGTAGCTCTGCGCGATGTCCAAAACGGGTTCAAGTTGAAATCCCATGACGTCTCATACTCACGTCCACTCCTCGGTCCGCGCCTTGGAACGGTGCCAGCTGTGCCCTCTCTTAGCAAGCCCATGACGTCACAGTGGCCACAGAAATAAAAAACAAGAAACAAGAAAAAATAAAGACAAAAAAAGACATGGCACAGCCAGTCCAAAGGCCACAGGTTTTCGCCAAACACGCTTTGAAGTTTACAGTCTCCAAGTTTTTTTCTCACGCCACTTGGGTTCGTCGATATATGAAAGTGCTTAATGGTTAAACAATCGTTCTCTTCTGTGAATTTCGCGTAGTCAAACAGCAAAAGGCATCTATATATAAAGCTCTTGCAGTAATATGGCATTTTCCGATTATTAAATCACTCAATAAATTAATCAATTTAGATCACTGAATGAATTAATCAATCTTTTAATCAGTAGCATTTACATGACTACAAGGATCATAGACACCGTGGCATAGTTGGGCAGTATGGCAGTATAGCAACACACCGTTATCGCGATATTGCCTTAGAGAGAAGGTACTTCTGTGTATCTGTATTTCTGTTTGAATAATGCATTTGTATCTCTGTAGTGAGATACTTCCACAATGCATGTATAGATTTTATCGCGATACGGCGCAGAGAAGGGGTATCATCATTACTTTTTTTTGTCGGTAATAAGTTGACCTGTTAAAGGCCAACTCCGGCAATTTTTCGACCATGTCAAGGTTATGGTGTTTCTATACTCCTGAGACACTCCTGTGACGAGCCCAATTGCTGAAATGCTCAGGAAATTTGAAAATAATTTTAATAAGCAAAAATGTGCAATACCGAAACCAAAACCCAACCGAGCGCCCTGTCTGCGTATGACGTACTATTTGGTATCCGGAGGCCGTATGCAGGTTCCGCCGGCACGGGGTATGAAAGCTGTGAAATCCAGTCCCGCGAAGCACTGGCCAAACACCACAGAGGAAGGAAGAAAGCATTCCCGTGCTATATCCGTGCCAAACACCGTCGCTGTCGCCTTGTGGAAAGCACAATAAACGCTGTAGCGGCCAAAGTAGCGATGCCATCGGCTGTGTCACTTCCGTTGACATGCCAAACATGACGTCACACAGCCAGTGTTGCCAATAATTCTGGCAAGTGAGGTGAGCTTTTCGAGGCAATCTTTAAAATTAATTTGCGAACGACCAATGGATCACTCAAATCTGTGATTTGGCATAGAGGACTAAAAGGTCCAAAGGAACATACCCAGCGAATTTCATTAATATTGAGTGACCTCGAAAAATCACCGGAGTTGGCTGTTAACAAGGGGAATTCAATAATTTTTTCGTGCTACAAGCAAATGCATGTCGGTGACACAGGAACGGTGGCGATGCTTCTTTGCATGCGCAGAATGGTTAATGCCGGGAAGCGCCCGACGCCTCTGACGGAAAAATTGTGGAAGCAGTATTGTAGTACTGTCAGCAGTATTGTCATTTTACCAATTCACTGTTCGTTGGTGATTTGAGCAATGTGTTTACTTACAAGTATCGGTGAAGTATAACGATTACCGCAGTATTATGCTCCATATAATAAGTGTTCCGCGGAGCATCGGCGTCCCTAAAATGGGAAATTATAGTATTTGTATTCTACCATCTGTATTCTAGTATCTGTTCCGTGATACTTTTTTTTCGTGTTTGTGCCAACGTATTTCGGAAATACACCGTAAGGTTAAACAGAAACGTATCTCGGTATCTGTATTTTAGGCGTTCAACATAAGTAATCCGATATTTGTATACTGAAATACTTTTCCCAGTATCACTGCCCAGCCCTGTATCGTGGTGCATGGACTGAAAGCACGGACACTCGTCAAACAGTCATGAGTGATTTGCATGTATACAGAGCACGTCAATCATACGATGAAGAGCACGTGAAAGACGTGCGCATGGTTCACGCACATACAAACGCAGTCACGAACATATATAAAGAGTCCCCCCCCCCCCAAAAAAAAAGTTCGGGGTACACAACTAATGCCGATAACAGTGCACAGAGCAAGCTCCACAGCCATCACTCCTATGGTCCCTGGCCGTATACCTTGTCCTGACTGTTGTTTCTGCCACCGACAGCGTACAGCTTTCCGCCCAGGAAGGCGGCCCCTAGGCCTGAGCGTGGACACCCGAGCTCGGCAAGCCGGAACCACTGCTGCGGCGGGCACAGGCACTCGAGCGCGCCCAGCGAGTGCTGCTGGTAGCCGCCCACGCAATACACCACCTGCGCCACCTGGGGACGCCGCTGGGAAACCGTGTACTGGCGTCGGCCTGTCAGGTCCTGCGTTGTCACACAGGAGCGCGTTGATTAAGGCCTGACCACACACATGCGTTGCAGGGTGTCAGCGCGTGGCTTTGTGACGCGGCGCCGCAAACTCTCTCTATGGAGAGAGAGAGAGAGAGAGCACGTGGCCAGGAGAAGTTTCGCGCCCTCTCTCTCCATGAGGAGAGGGCGTGGTGGCGCGTCGAAAAGCCACGCGCTGACATGCTGCAACAGGTATGTGTGGTCAGGTTTTAGGGGCGAAGCCCCTTATGGTTTAGGGCAGTTCAACTCTCCGGCGTAGCCCGCAACGCATAGCCACAGACAGACAGACAGACAGACAGACAGACAGACAGACAGACAGACAGACAGACAGACAGACAGACAGATGGATGGATGGATGGACGGACGGACGGACGGACGCGTCTCCCCAGCCATGGTCACTCACCTCGTAGACATACCGTAAATTTTACATCATGCGCACACGTGACATGCAATTTAGGTGCTCTCATGCAAATTGTAACAAGAGACGCCAGCAGCAATGGGGATATGCATAAATAAGGATGTAGGCGCGGAGTTAGGGATATGAAGCCCCGATCTCTGTGTCACGTGTCCCGCCACGGCAACAGCTCAGACATTGTCTGCACTGCACGAAATTTCGCTACTTAGAGATGACCGCTCGCAACTCGATGAAGTCAATGTAGAAGCAAACCATATAGATAACTTTTATCGAGTCTTTCTGTTTTTATCAGGAAACAGTTCATTCAGTTTTATCTGTTATCTGACAGCCACGTTACCAGGAAGGTCTGCAAAAATTTCTTCCCCTTCCTACTTGATCGTTCCAATGGACGGCCAGTCAATATTCTTCAAACCACATACCCAAAAAACAATACAAAAACTTCTTGCTCCAGAGGTATTACAAGAGTGGCGGCACCAGTGAGGCTGTATCTGCCGCTAAACCATACCCAGGAATTCGGGATATTGCTTTTACTTCACCTTTGTTCACACCACGTGGCGAACGGACCTTTGAAAAATGGCGTGATGACGCATGCCGCGGGACAGACAAAACGGCAATACATTAAAAAAGCAGCACAATGTCGACTATTACGGGGCAAGTGAACGCTTGTGTTGTGAATCCTTCCCTGTGTTTCCATCTTGAGTGCGCGCTGTCCGCTAACAGCGCATAGTAGTACATAGTACAGAGGAGTGGACGTGTGAGACGAGGCACCTGAATGATTCGGTGCAAGTAGTCGCAGCACTGGGGCATGCTCCGCACCAGGTCGCAGGTCTGCAGCTGGTGCATGAGGAAGCGCGGCGTGAGGAAGTGGCAGCGCACAGCGTACAGCACGTCGGCCATCTTGGCGCGCCGCCGGTTCTCGTCGTGCTTGACCCAACGCAGAACTGCGTTGAACACCTCCGACTCGCAGCGCACGTTCAGTTCGTCGCGACGCACGAGGGCCACCAGCTGGCTCGCCGTCAGGCCCAAGAACTCCTCTCCCTCGGAAACCTGTGGGTGATTAGATCAGTTAGATCTACTTTTCTCTTATTCTCTTGTGACTAGATTAGATAGATAGATTGTCCTGTGTATTTTTTAGTCCCTCCTTATCCCTTTCCTTCCTTATGAAGCGCATGCTGAGGTGTCCCACTTTGCTGGAGCCAGTCGCGGGGTTCATCTTTTCCTTGCTTTTCTCCTATAGAGAAATGCGATGTTTCTGGAGGGTTGGTTCACGTCGAAATCTTAAAGGGGCCCTGAAGCACTTTTTCAGGTAACCATGGAAGGAATTCACTGGAAGAGCTTATTTCCTCACGAATTCAACGTGGCAAAAATTTCAAGAATCCGTCCAGTGCGAGTCGAGTTACAAATGTTTGTCGCATGCTGCAATTGCATTCTCTCTTCGCTATTCCCAACGAAAGCGCTGGAAGCTAAGCAGGGAGAGATGGAAGGGGCAAACAAAACACGTCACCCGTTCCTCGTGACTTTGAGCACTTTTTTTCTTTCTTTTTTCTTTGAATGCGCGGCTTCTTCAGTGTGCTCGCGCGCGCATGCGAGGACAAGTAGCGACCTCCCGCGGCGATCTCTGTAACGCGCGAACGCTCCGCGTTCAAATCAGCCAATGGCAGATAGATGGGCTTGGCACGTAGGATTTTCGGGCATATTCCGTGATTTGTCGAGAGAAGAGAAAGCAATTTTCAGCTGATTGATAATTTATTGTGAATTCCAGGCCACATGCTGCTCTACAATATTTGGCTCGCGTGTTGTCGGAAGCCTCTGCTACCGATCGGCAGCGTTTTCTGACCGTGCTCAAAAAATGTTTCAGGGCCCATTTAATTATGCGCTGTCTCAAAAACAAAGAAGATGACATAGAGACTAACAAAAGTAGAAGAGACAATGCGCCTTGCCTATTCTACTTCTGTCCGTCTTTACATCGTCTTCATTGTTTTTTTTTTAATGGCGCATAATTAAGATCTCTCTTAGAGCCACTACACCCCCCTCTCCTTCTGAAGTAGACCACAAAAGACTTTGACGTCTTTCTTAAATTTGCTCTCGAAGTCAGCGGTGAACTCATTTAACGCCTTGAATTCTTGGGTAAATGAGAATTTGCAACACGGCACACGGCACTTAAGAAGCCTCAACGATGGCCGCTGGTCCAGCGACCATGCCTCTATTCTAACTAAATAACGTGTCGTGCGTGAAGCTTCATTATTTTTCGCACACGCATAGATAGATAGATAGATAGATAGATAGATAGATAGATAGATAGATAGATAGATAGATAGATAGATAGATAGATAGATAGATAGATAGATAGATAGATAGATAGATAGATAGATAGATAGATAGATAGATAGATAGATAGATAGATAGATAGATAGATAGATAGATACTCTTATTGCATATTGCGTAGCTTGCACTACACTTACGGCGGCGAAATTCTGGTCGATATAGTCGTTGACCTTGATGTAGAGCTTGGTGCAGCCATGCTGCAGCGCGAATTCACCGATGCCGATGCAATTGTTCGGGTCGAGCTGCTTTTCGAGGAAGTTGCAGCAGGCCTCGATGATGTGGTTCACCTGCGTCGCCGGAAATCGGCGCTTCAGTCTGACTCTCCGCAAGAGGGATCTTTGTACTGGACGGACGGATGCATATGGATGGACGGATCCGAGCAAGAACGAACGGACGGACGGAAGCGCGGACGGACTGATGGACGCTTCGCCCCACTCATCATCATTAACTCCATGGAGATGCTGCGATTTTTACCGATTGGAAGACGTAATATCCTGCAGATTTCATCGAAATTTCTTACGTCATGGTGCTTGGTGCGGGATCACAAGGGGGAGTTTCCACCCGTATTTTCTTCTCGCGTGTTTTCTCGCTTACTGAGAACCGCGGTAAGAGTGATTCTTTCGGGGTTGTGAACTTCCCTGATACGCGAAAAATCGTTTTGTTCTTCAGTGTTTATTTAATTGGACATCCTTATTACTCTACCATGGCGCTCCAAACTGTCCAACTTGTTGTGGCTGCAACTACACTGGTCTACGGCACACATAAAATTACCCTGGCTGAGCGCGCTTAGAGCAAGTTTGAGTGAGTATCACGGCTCGACGGCGTGCACCTTCTTCCTTCAAGTTTCTGGAGCAGAGGCTGCCACACAGCCACTTCGTCGGTGCGAATTCACTGCTAAAGCTCCTTGATCTCAAGAAGCTTTATCGTATAGGCAAGAACATTGTGCCATATTACGGGATGTGCGAAAAATTTCCGCGGTGCTGACTCAGCTCAGAGACACTGACGTGACCTTGGCAGATCTGAAAAGTAATACTTATTATTGACGGGATCCCAAAATAATGATATGATTAAGAGAAACGCCGTATTGGAGGCCTTAGCTAATTTCGACCACTTGGGCTTTTTTTTAGCATGCACCTAATCTAAGTACACTGGCCTCGATCATTCTCGCCTTCGTCCAAAATGCGGCCACCTCGGCCGGGATACGAACGCGCGACCTACGGGTCATCAGCCGAGCACCATAACCGATCTAGACCATCATGGTGGGCTCCGTCCCTGCCCATGCAATGTGAGCTCTACCTACCAGATACGAACACGTACCAACTGGTTCAAGTTTACACTCTTGCGCTATAAACGAGTTCTCAAAGTGGCTCAAAGGAGCTCAGTGTGGGATCCTGAAGCTCACACACCTGGAACATGGTGGCGGCTGGCAGGAGCTGGCACACGTTCCTCTGGTCGATGCATATGGAGCCCGTGTAGGCGAACTTCATGACGCTCGCCATGGTCGAAGGCCCGACGCCCTGTATCTGCACCACAGGCATGGCCGCCTCACGCAGCCCTCCCGCGAACATGGCGCGGAAGTAGGGCGACATGGCCAGCAGCACGAGACGGTGCGCCGGGAACGACTCCGAGCCTACGCGGATCTCGACGTCGCAGAGGAAGCCCTGGCGACGCATGAGGTCCATCACCTGAGGACGGGTGGGGAGAAAAAGCTTGCTGTTTATTTCCACAAGCACATACGGGTGAGCTAGAACACTTGCAAACTCCGGATTGACCCTCAGCCAAAGACTGGTTGTGGGGTCATTTACAAATATGTACAAATGCATACAGCCACAAATGTGTAATAGGCAGTATTAGGCAAATGCAAACCTACAAAAGAAGGAATGTCAGAATCTCTCTCTCTCTCTCTCTCACACACACACACACACACACACACACACAAACACACACACACACACACACACACACACACACACGACGAATCTTGCACTGAGCCACTCAAGGCATGTACCAGCGGAACTGGACGATTCCGAAGACGCGTCAGGCTCGGAGTTTTTTCGCAGCCTAGCAAGTTACGGCAATACTGTACGCAAATACGTTACCGTACCGCTCCTCCTTTCCCGGTCGTTGACCCTGTACCAGTGAAGGAAGCTTTTTCAAAAATAACTGTCCCATTGTCACCCTCATTGTGATCTGGGGATGCACTGTCCCTGTAGAGGAGGGAAGCTACCGCGCTGCCTTGCCGTATTTGCGTACCGTAATTCCGTAACTTGCTAAAAGACCCTATTCTCTCGCACCCTTTGTCATCGGTTCAGCGCCGTAACATCCCAGACATTTGTAGGGCGAACTGTTGCCTACTCTATGTTATAGTAGACCAGAGGCGAATAGTGGCATTTACCCTATGGATGTAGCACGTACCCGTTGGCGGTGGCGATAGTTTCCTGGTAGGCCATACACACTAATTGCGGACAGCTTGAACAGCTTCGCTGTTAAAACACTCTTGTAGAAATGTACATTGATGTTTTTTTTATGAAAAGATATAGTTCGGGTCTTTAACATAAAAAACATATAATAGGATACGTATGGCTGTGACCATAGGGGTGTGCAAGCGGGGGAGGCAGTGGGGGCCTCCTGGTCATCTAAACAAGGGGGAGGGGTTGCAAAGTCAGTCCCGTGGATTGATAAATAGGGAGGTGGGCACTGCGACGAACCTTTGCCAGCTTTGCCCCCTCCTCCCCCTGAAAGAGAACCCCGAGCAACGCCTATGCGTGCGTCCATGGATCTTGTGTTCGTCTTCAGTGCTGACTTTACAAGCAGGCCAGCGTTGTACGTACACGCACCTCAAGGGACTCCTTTGGATATGATTCCACGGAAAGCGTCATGGCGCCGACGCCTTCTGGGGGCAAATCCATCGATTCGCTGCATAGCATGTCCAAGCAGTCGCCTTCACTGCGGTCTCTCAGCAGGGTCATGGCTGGTGCTACTTGTTTCACCGACGGGTAGGACAGAGCTGTCGATTATATAGACTCGGCCTGCATCGGAATTTCATTGTACGTAAAGTTCGGGAGAGTTACCATGCATGCATGTGAAATAGTTCAGTTTTCATCGTGTAACACTCATAAGTAGAAAAAAAAAAGCGTGGGCAGCTTATTTTAGTGGTAATGTCGGCTGATGTAGCGCGGTTGAGGCGATGAGGAAGAACAAGAAATACGGGAACAAGCACAGTATCACTGGAAGCAGTATCAACCAAGATGAACGCAGACCAACTCGCTCGAGCTTCCATTCTTATGGTCTAGTGGTGCAAGGCTGAACTAACAACAGAGCTTGTTGGTAACCGTTGTTATTAACAAGGTTTTAATTCGAGTTGAGGTAATTAGCATGGTCTTAATTAGAAAAGTTCACTCTACTCTTGTTTTTTTCTTCTCTTTCATTTCGCCACTGTAGATCTGTTCTATGCTTTCTCTTTTCTATAGAAGGCAACACCTTGAGGAAAGGCTGAACTAACAGCGGAGCTTGTTGCAGACTTATGTTATTATGAGGGTGTTAATTAGCGTGACAATAATTATCACGATCCTAATTAGACATTGTCTCTCTCTGCTTCTTTCTCTTACTTTTTTCCTCAATTTACCTGTTGTGTGCCTTTTCTTTTTCTTTAAAAGGCAATGCCTTGCGGAAACGACTATACATTGTTATAGAATCTTCTTACTGGGCGTGCTGGCCAAAGGCCTTCACCACCATCACCATCGGCCAAACTACGCCCACTGCAGGGCAAAGGCTGCAGTGACTTTTGTTTTCTTCTGTGCGAAGGTTATATTGTGTAACTTCCCCATTTTGTATTTTGTTTAATTTTATAAAACCGCCGAAAAGTTGGCCAGTCTCCCACAGTCAGTGCGAATCACATTGACTAGGCGAACAAGAACCTGGTCTGCAGGTACGCAGTTACAAGTGCCTCCTCCTTCTTCACCCTGCCACGGCCGCTCGATCTTTCGAGAGGAGTCGAGCAGCCGTGACCCTGCTATTGCTGGGTAAATGAGAGGCGGGGAGCAAATACGCGTGCATTAGCTGACATGCCAGAAATCTTTGAAACACAGGGTAGTCGTCAGGCTTGCTCGGTATTTTATGGGCAAAGACGAAAAATGGCTAATAAATGTGCCGGAGTGAAAATTCAACATAGCCGGAAAGTATAGCCTGAAATTTTCGTCGCCAGACGGGGTCGCAAAGTAGCCACCAACGGCAACCCCGCCTCCCATTCCCTCTCTGGTTTTACCAGCTTTATTCGAGTGACCCCCACCCCCCCTCCCTTTTAAAATGAGTGACCGGATCCATTCCTGCTCTCTGCATACGTCGGAATAAACGCAGCAGTAATAATATTTGTTGCTGTTTCACTCTTCAGAACCGAAGATATGACTATATGAGAGACGCCGTACAGCTTTGGGCTCCGAAAATTTTGACCATCTGGTGTTCCTTAACGTGCACCTACCTAAATTACCGCCTCGACCACTTCGCTTCCGTTGAAATGCGTCTACCGAGACTGAGATTCGATCCCGCGACCATTCGGGCATCGTTACCACTCGACCACCGGAAAGGTGTGATAAACATAGTGATAACTCCATGGGGCAATGGCAATAAGGACTAACGTACGCGACAGTCACAATAAGCGAAGGAGCTAACACCTACCGCTGCGATTTTCAGCACGTAGTCACGGCAGGCACAGTCCCGAAGTGGTGTTGCCTATCGTGACAGTAAATTTTGCTCCAAGCTGATTGTCTCCGTGTCAGAAATAAGCGGAGAATTTCGGGCGCGACTGCATTCCACGGAACCGATCGATTACACGTGGGCCTCGCGCTGGGATCTTTCGATGATGATGGCGAAGAATTAGGATAATGATGATCCTGTCCCGTGGCATGTATAGACCTTTTTTTACTAAATGCTCCTTGAGTCCCGCCATATTAATTTCTGAGCTCCAAAAATTGACGTGACCCCCCAGAAATGCGCTGGCGAGGTTATGCCTTGGTCTTTGTACTCCCTCGCACAGCCCAGCATAGAGGTGTTTTTTTTTTTTTTGCTCCAGTGAGAAGGTGTGTGCACACACTGAATGGTATGTCACAGTTGATTTTTTGAAGTTGTTGATATTAATGCGATGAAAATGGATCGTTCGTCTCGTTGCGTTATTGTTCTATTGTGGTGAATAGTTTTCGTGAAAGGTTTTCCAAGAATTGGAAGCTTCCGTAATGGTGCAAGTATATAAGTCATAGTTTACCAAAAATAGCAATAAGATATAAACTACGAAGAATTAATCGCGGAAATCTACCTGAAAGAACTCAAGGTTCATTCATGATAGAGCAAATATTCTCTGCGCATCCATGTGACCGGACCCTAGCCACCGGGGTGAGGATGGAATTGCCTTGAAAGACCACTTCCCTCTATAAAATTGTTGATAATGCTGGGTGTTCTATAGCAAACTAATTTATGAAATAGGCCTTGTCTAAAATGGTCAAGCTTTTCAGCAGGTGGACCTTTCCCCGAAACAATTATGGGTTACGGTCTTGCCTGTGACACAGTCCACTGACTGAAGGCTCCCAAAGGAAGAAAGATTATGTGTGATGGAACGATTAAAATCTTCTGAACCTGTGTTACAGAAATTTTCCACTCGTTAGTGCACAAGTAATGAGAGCATTAAAAACACTGGCTCCTCTCTCTCATACTGAGCACAGTGGAAAAAGCGGTGAATAAGGCAGCTATCCTGGCAAGGTAATCGGGTAAAAGTTACTTCAGGGTTTTCTGGCTTTTGAAAGAAGTATTTTGTCAAAAATGTAGGTCCGGTATGTGGGTAATATTAAGAAACCCATAAAGTACTACATTCCATGGTCTTACCTAGAAAGGTCCAGACGTCCCACATCCCAAGAGGGTGGTTTTTAGGATGTGCTTTGAACATGCGCACAGAGATCATTCCCAAAAACATCGCTTGTAGGTTCTGATTGGGAATTCAAATCAGCGGTGAAATAAGGTATACCATGTTGAAAATCGGCGGTTCCAAACTCTCGAAAACTGCACTTCAACGAAGTGCATCGTTGGCGCGCGTGCACAGTTTTATATATACATGCCCATAAAATACAACACATTCAATTTTTTGTGAAATTTTGAATTCCTAAATAATTGCCCGTCTGATGATTTGATAGTGGTTGCTTTGGTGAAGGCAGGAAGCAGCCATTTAAGCAAGCCACCGAATGCTGATTTGCCAGGTTCTCCTCCACTTCATTCATAAATGAGGATTTATGGGCAGGCACCAAAACCAATCTTATTGCACGACATTGAAATGTAGGTATAAGAGCTTAGTACCAATTCTCGCTAGGGTAATCACTATAAATTATGATATAATATATTATAAACTAAAGCATCAGCCTTCCAACTTAATATTCCTGGTTTTAGTTGTTTAATATTTATCTTTTATCTTGCTATTGGCGAATTGGTGCTGATTGTAGCGGGATATTTTGAAGTGTATATTTCAGATATGCTTTGTGCTTTTTGAATTCAATTTTCGTGTTCCTAAAAAGAATAAAAAAAACCTCTGTATTTTTGTTTCACTGCGTCTGAGCAAATGTATGAGTGGTGGGAATCCTATATATCATGCACAAGTAATTTACCTTCAGTCCATTCAACCCAGGTCATTTTTTGTCTAAATAAACTTTATAAATGAATGAGTAAGGATTATGAATTCGTTATTATGAATACACTGATATAGAGAAGCAGGCGTAAGGACTAGTACTCCTACGAAAAATTCAGTAGCATCGAAATATGGTACATCTGAAATAGGGTAAACTAGGAATCGGTGTAAAGCGTGGCTTAAACGCCCGCATGTCATAATTACGAGCTATTCGCAATGGCTTGTGCAAGCTTGAGGTGCAGTAGTTTTTGTTCCATCTCCGGGAAAGACGTGGATTCATGGCGTTCATTCGAACGTGACATTACTCGAAGTGGAGGTGCGGGAAATGCATTACCTGTCGCACGCCGAGCGGTACGTATTAATAAACCGGGCTGAAGAATTCAGATGGTTTGACTGCGTTTTCCAGACAATTGTTTGCCTCAGACAATGTTCGTACCTAAAGTATTCGAGATCGAGTTAAAAGCGAAGAAATGGTCACACTCAAAGCGCGCGCCTTTTTTGGTTCAAACCGCTGCGGCTGCTGCCACTTGGACCAAATACGTAAAAAGTTGTATATAGACAAAAACTAAATTTATTCTACGTACCTCAAAGATAATAAATAAAGTACCTATCTTTCTTCAAAATTTTATAGACAATGAGTTTTAGAAACGTGGTAGGGTAAGCGCGACATTTCCGTTTCCTGTTGCGACCATGCTCAAAATGGCGCCTACGTAATCTTGTCGTTTGTGTGGTTTTCAAGCATATCGTGGCGAAGTGTTGTTGTGCCCATCGCGATACGAATCTGCGAGCCCTAATCAACAGTCGCCGTCGTCGTACATCGGCAGTGTCGTGACAATGTCGTGATTCAACCGTTCCGCGTTGTGCCAGTGTGAAAACAAGCAAGGTCCGTCACCTCGTTCGTGAACTTCGTTTGTCGACAATGGCGCGCGACAAGAAGAGGCGCCGATCGCTCTCGCGCAGTTCTTCCAGCTCGCCGGAGAGGATGAGTAGCAGACGACGCCGAAACCGATCCCGAAGTCGTGACCGACGCCGTCGCAGCATCGAGCGTCACCGACGATCCCGGTCCCGCGACCGCCGCCGATCGCCCAGGGACAGGTACCGCCGTTCGCGGTCGCGCGGTCGCCGGACTTTCTCGCGGTCCCGCTCGCGGTCTCCGTCTCGGGACCTCCGCTCCAAGAGTCAAGACCGCAAGCGCTCGCGTAGCCACGACCGCGACGACAAGAAGGGTGAGCAGTCAGCATTGGCGGCCTTGGCGGCCGCGACCGCGGCAGCCGCTGCGGTCACCGGAGCCCTGGCCGCCGCCGAAAA